AGTGGTGTGATCTTGGTTCACTGCAACCTCCACCTCCTGGGTTCAAGCAATTCTCCTGCCTCGGCCTCCTGCGTAGCTGGGACTACAGGCACCCACCACCATGCCCAGCTAATTTTTATATTTTTAGTAGAGATGGGGTTTCACCATGTTGGCCAGAATGATCTTGATCTCTTAACCTCGTGATCCACCTGCCTCAGCCTCCCAAAGTGCTGGGATGACAGGCATGAGTCACCACGCCTGGCATATTTTGTATTATTAATTGACAAAAATATTACAGAAAATGTGGGAAATACGATTTTTTAAAAGCCACCTATATATCCCACCACCCTAACAAAAATACTGTTAGGTCTGTGTGCTACCTTCTGGATTTAACATCCTCATTTTAGTTGAGGCAAACAGAGGCTTGGGGAAGATGCATGTTGAACTCACATGCCTGTATGTACAATTTTACATATTTTTAAAAATAAATTAAAGACCTTAAACATCCCAGTGTAGCTTGTGAATGTGTATGTGGAATCTTCAATGCTGAGACTAGAATCCATTTCTGAGTATGAGTACCTGGCCATTCTACTTCTCTGTACTACATACGAGACTGAGGAAGTGATGGTTAAGAAGTATTCTCCATACTAAGCTATCCTGAAAACTAAAATCCTTACTAAGAAATTATAAAATGTTTCTCTTTCTCACTCACACACACAAAAAACAGATGGTCAAAAAAGGAAGAAGCAATTTTAAACTATATTTCTATATTTTTGTTTCCACATGGCAAATGTAAAAACACGCCAAATGAATCTTGTAAAAATATACCGTATTAAACCTCAAACTACAAAATAAAAGATTCTTTTTTATTAAAACGAGCCACTCCTCTTAAAGCAGCAGGGAATAAAAAATGAGTCAGTTAACTGATTCAAAATGGAAGTTCACCAACGGCAGGGAAAAAGTGATGAGAAAAGTACCTGAATAATGTAACACGCTCTAATACATCTTAATACATCTCATGAACATGTGGTTTCACCAGGAAGGCGCAGGAGGAAAAGCAGTCATTCTCCCTTGCCTGTCTGTATGTGGGGCTCTTAGAACCCCCCAGTGGTTAGACAACACCCCAGCCACACGCTCACCTCTCCTCCCGCTCCCGTTTCTGTTTCCGGGCATGGCGATCCATCACACTGGTTTTAGTTCTCGTCTTCTTCCAAGAATAGTAAAATTTTACCAGACTTGCTATAGATTTATCAGGAAGCTAAACATAAAAAAACAGTTGGTCTATTTAAATACTAAAGTAATATTTAAAAATCAAATGTTTAGACATCTTTAATAAGGATCACTCTTACATCTTCAGATATATCTGAAGCCATAGTCCTTTTCTCTGATAAGAAAAAATTGATAAATGAATTCTTATCAATATATATTTTAAATTACTGAAGTTTGTAAGTGAAACAGTCAATACGAGCTGATAAAATCAGTTCAAGATGAATCAGAGTTTTCACATAACCAAAGTCCTTAAATAAAACTTAGTTTGTTTTAAAAAAAATTCATTTTAACACTTAATGCAAATGTTAGTAAGCTTTTAAGTAGGAGTCTACTGAAGAGCTTTCCAGAACGTAAATAAGCCAGCTGTCCCCAGGCAGCCAGAGCCTCAGACAACCACCTCAGACAACCATCAGAGATCCTTCGCATGGGTCTAATCTTCTGGGAGTCCCAACGGGAAGGACTGGGCGGGAGGAGGGTCCAATCACAGCCGACAGGACAGGAATATCATGTTTGAGTATGATATCCCTATCTCAAGTATGCTGCAGAAAAGAGTAGCTAAGAGAAAAAAGTAGTTAAAACTCAGTGGTCTCATCTACTTACCATTTGTTGGATTCTATGAAAAGTTTTCCCATGAAAACTAAAGGCTTGCTCAAATAAGACTTTATCTTCCACAGTCCACTCATCTGGGAAAGGGGTAAAGTTGGGCAAATCAGCCAATGACTTTTCAATATTATGTTTATGCCAGAAGAGCATCCCAAGAGCCTACAAAAATGATATCAGTGAAATTTTAGATTGAACAAAAAGCACAGAAAATGGAAATGAAACTGGAAAAAGAAAAGTAAGAAAGAACTACTTCATATTTAGACAAACTAACTCATATACAGTGATAAGTGGCAGACACTGTCAGACGCCCCTTTTCCTAGTCTTCATAATTGTAGTGATATTTAAATAACATACATTTTATCCACTTAACCATCTAACTGTACAGTTCAGTAGCATTAATACATTCATAATGTTGTACAACCATCCCAATATCCAACCCCAGAACTCTTTTCAACTTGTGATAGGGAAACTCTGTAGCCATTAAACAAAAGCTCCTGTTGCCTCTCCCTATTCCTCCCTACCCCCAGCCCCTGACAACTATCATTCTATTTTGTGTCTATTAAGATTATTATTACTGGCAGGGTGAGGTGGCTCACGCATGTAATTCCAGCACTTTGGGAGGCCGAGGCAGGTGGATCACCTGAAGGTCAGGAGTTTGAGACCAGCCTGGCCAACATGGCAAAACCCGGTCTCTACCAAAAACACAAAAATTAGCCAGGTGTGGTGGTGGATGCCTATAATCCCAGCCACTCAGGAGGCTGAGGCAGGAGAATCACTTGAACCTGGCAGGCAGAGGTTGCAGGGAGCCAAGATCACACCATTGCACTCTGGCCTGGGTGACAAGAGTGAAACTCTGTCTCAAAAAAAACAATTATTGTTATCATTATTATTATTATTATTATTATTATTTGAGACAGGGTATGGCTCTGTCACACAGGCTGGTGTGCAGTGGCACCCACTGCAGCCACCACTTCCCAGGCTCAAGCAATCCTCCTTGATCACGTCAGCCTCCCAAGTAGCTAGGATTACAGGCACACATCACATGCCTGGCTAATCTCTTGTGCTTTTTGTAGAGAGAGGGTTTTGCCATGTTGCCCAGGCTGGTCTTGAACTCCTGGGCTCAAGCAATCTACCCACTTTGGCCAGAAGTAGAACTGGTGGAATATGGTAATTCTATTTTTAATTTTTTAAGACGCTGCCATCCTGTTTTCCCCAGCAAGTGTACCATTTTACATTCCCACCAACAATGAATGTCCCTGTCTAACTTATAAGGTCCGTTTTGACTGACATTATCATACTCACTCCTGCTTTCTTTTCGTTACTACTTGCATGGGATACCATTTTCCACACTTTCACTTTAAAATTATTCGTGTCTTTGGAACTAATGTAACTCTCTTGTACATGGTATATAGTGGGATCCTATATTTTTTACCCGTTCTGCCAGTCTTTGTCCTCGGTTTGGAAAGTTTAATCCTTTTATATTTAAAGTAATCACTGATAAGGAGGGAGTTCTGTCATTTTGCTATTTTGTTTTGTATATTCCTTAAAGCTTTTTATGTCCTTCATTTCCTGAATTACTGTCTCCTTTTAATGGTTTGTTTTTTTTTTTTTTTTTTCCTTTTTGTGAGACAGGGTTTCATTCTGATTGCCCAGGCTAGAGGAACAATGGCATGATCTTAGCTCATTGCAGCCTCCCCCTCCAGACTCAAGCGATTCTTCTGCCTCAGCCTCCTAAGCAGCTGGGACTACAAGTGCATACCACCACACCCAGCTAATTTTTTTTTTGTAGAGACGGTTTCATCATATTGCCCAGACTGGTCTCCAACTCCTAAGCTCAAGTGATCGGCCCACCTTGGCCTTCCGACATGCTGGGATTATAGGCGTGAGCCACCGCTTTGGGCCTCCTTTTTATATTTAGTTGATTATTGATAGTGAAAGATATAAATTCCTTTCTATTTCCTTGTGTATATATTCTATAGCTATTATCTGAGGTTGGGCATTGTGGCTCACACCTGTAACCCCAAGCACTTTGGGAGGCCGAGGTGAGAGGATCACTTGAGTTCCGAAGTTGGAGACCAGCTTGGGGAACTTAGCAAGACCATGACTTTATAAAAAACAAATAAACAACAACAAATTAGCCAGGCAGGGTGGTGCACACCTGTAATTGCAGCTACTTGGGAGGCTGAGGCAGGACTGCTTGATTGACAAGAGTTCAAGGCTGAAGTGAGCTATGATCACATCACTGCACTCCAGCCTGGGTGACAGAGCAAGACCTTGTCTCAAAACAAAATAAACAAGTTGGGCAAGGTGGGCTCACACCTGTAATCCCAGCACTTTCGGAGGCCGAGGTGGGTGAATCGCGAGATCAAGACCATCCTGGCCAACATGGTGAACCCCCATCTTAAACACAACAACAACAACACACACACAAACAAAAAGACACAAGCTTTTATTTATTTTAAATTGTACATTACTCCTTTATTATACTGATCTAGGAAAAAAGATTGAATACTGGGTCCACATGGCAGGGCCAAGCAATTAGAACACAACTCAGAAATCAAGTCAGTGAAAGACATACTTAAACATGATCAAGAGGCATTTCACTGCCACAAAATAAGGTAGGGGAGGGATTCTAAAACCCACTGCTGTGGGTTTTTGTTTTGTATTTTATATATAATTTTTTGTAAATGTAAATCCAACACATGAACTTAATACAGGATTGCTGTCAACCTTCTTGAGCAACCTCATCTGGGGTTAGGGAAAAAACAGTTGTTTTTTCACATCACCATGTAGGTGACACTTGTCTTCCTCTGGAATGAGCAGAGCTCCCCAGACAGAGTGGCCTGACTTGAGAAAGAGTACAGGACTGGCGCCTGGGGTCAAACAGGCTCTCCTGCTTCTCCTCCTTGGCCAGGACAGCATGGTTCCTCCCACAAAGGTCCTTAATACACAAAGCCCTGGCAAAAGCCCAAGTCACTATCTCTCAACTCTCCTGGATAAGGAGAGATTTCTCCCTTCACCAGAGGCGCTATTCTGACTAGTTCATATGAAGGGAGTGGGTGCATGAGACAAAAGTGGTTACAATGAAAATGGGGGCCAGGAGTTCCCATCTGCAGCTCCATCATAAGGTGCCTACAGATGTGGTCAGTGTGATTGGTATGTGCAGCAGGGAGGTGAAGAGGAATGGTATGGGCAGAAAGAAGGTTCCCTGAAATAGCAGTCAGCCTGCTGGCCTTCAATTCTTGGCCTTGCCCTGCGCAGCCATGGCTTCCATGGCTTTATGCACGGTTTCTTCATCCCCTAGGAACTTTCGTTTATGGACTTGATGGGCTTCACATTCTTTAACAATTTACAGACAACAGGATTACCAGCTGGCAACTTCAGATCCATGATGGCCTCTTCAGAGAGACTCTCTAGCAGCTTTTATTTAGCTGCGAATATCTTAACTTCTCCCCTTTACCTTTGAAAGAATTTTCTCAAATACAGGATTCTTAGTTGGCAGTTTTCTTCTTACTGCTTTGAATATATCAGCCCATTGCCTTCTGGCTTCCAAAGGTTCTTACAAGAAATACCCTAATAAGCTTATTCAGGATCCCTTACATGTAATGGGTTAGAGTTCTCTCTTGCTGCTATCAAGATTCTCTGTCTTTTCATTATGTGCTCTGGTGAGTCTTTGAGTCCATCTTTACTTGGAGTTTACTGAGTTTCTTGGATGTTTATATTCACATCTTTCATCAAATTTGCGTAGTTTCTGGCCATTATTTCTTCAAATAATCTCTCTGTCCCTGTCTCTTTCCCCTTATGCAACTTCCATAATGCATATGTTAGTCCACTTGATTGTGTCCCAAGGGTACCTTAGGCTCTGTTCACTCTTTTCTCATTCCGCTGCTCAGACTCAATCAATAATTTCCATTGTCCTTTCTTCACGTTCTTTCTCATTCTTTCTTGGGACTCCTCAAATCTGCCTTTGAGCAACTCTAGTGAATTTTTCATTTCAAGCTTTTAAGCTCTAGAATTTCATTTTGGTTTTCTTTTAGGTTTTCCATTTCCTTACTAATATTTCCATTTAGTTCATACATTGTTTTCTTGACTTTTTCTGTATCTTCCATTAGTTCTTTTAACATCTTTAAGATAGTTGCTTTAAAATCTTTGCCTAGTAGATCTACCAGTAAGGTCTTTTCCCAGGGAGTTTCTGTTGATTAATTTTTTTCCTGTGAATCGGCATACTTTACCATTTCTTTGTATGCTTTGTGATTTTTCTGTTAAAATCTGGACAACATTTGAATCTAGTAACGCAGTAACTCGCAATCACACTATTCCTCAGGGTGTGCTGTGTTTTTACCGTTTTGGCTTTCTTTTGGTTGCTGTAGGCTTGCCTCCATGCTGAGGCTCAGCCTGAGGTATAAACTTACGGATTCTCTGAGGCTCTGCCTTTCCCCGGGCAGGCATGGTGACTTTCTCCTAATATGCAGTTGCTTTCAAAAGTCCCAGCCTTTATGCCTGGCTCCCAAAAGGGTGAAAGGAGAAATATGAAGAGGGCCTGGGGGGGCAAGGACACTAGTCCTCTGAGTCCCCTGGAAGTCACCTCAGCTGGAGAGGAGGAGCATGCAACACCTGCAGGTGGGGGTCCTCTCTGCACTTTTGTGATCAGAAGCAGCAATCAGAGCACTGATCCTGAATTTGGAGGACAGGGCGCTTTCTGCCCTTCCCATTTCCTACAAGCTACATGCAAGTGTACAGGAACACACAGCTGCCTGCCAGGGGGGATTAAAATGGGGGATGGGTAACTGCTAGCTTGCTGGGAGCTAAAACTGACCAAAGTTACAAGCCCTCAGTAGACCCCAAAGTTCCAAAATAGTTACATCAGACAGGTTCTAATGGTGCAATTTCTATCTAGGTGGGGAGAAAGTCTCTTTGTGCTCAACACTCTGTCGTTGTCCCAGAATTCTCCTTGTCAAATGCTCTTTGTACATTAACTCATTTACCTCGTGAGGTAAACTCCATCACTCTCACTTTCAAATTAGAATATGGAGGACCCAGGAAATTAAGCAACTTGCCACTGGCTATAAAACCAGCATGGCTCTGGGATCTGTGCTCTTCAAACACCACGCTTTACTGCCTCAACATATAAAAGAAGAAAGTAATTTATAAAAGTACAATTGTTGTATTGTTCTTTTATTTAAAAAACTGTATATATATTTAAGTTATATATATATGTGTATACATAAAGGTTTTCTCAACTTAGAAATAAAAGTAGAAATTACAAAAGAGATAAGACAAGATAATCCAGCAATACGTTGCTAAGGATAATTTTTACACTGCAATTATAACATAGGAAATTTTCATACTAATGATCATTTTAAAGGAGAAATCTAGCATCCTTAACAATTAATACAGGTATATTTTGCAATCATCTAATTAAAAGTAGCTTCAATGTCCAGGATAGAGTAAATGTAAGGCCAATCCCCAAAAAACGTGTACAATTTCACATAATCTAAACTCTTGGTAACTTCTACCATTAGGAAAAATGAGAAATGTCAGTAACTTACAGGTTGTAAGATCTGGATTAAGGCCACAGAAAGCATTGATCCAACTTGATGCATTTAAAGTAAATCATTAATGCTAAAATAAGGTATCATCACACTTTTGCAGAAAAATAAATCTTGTGGATTTCTTATTAGTATGTTACAAACAATATTTAAAAGAACCCTTGGCAGAGTGTGGTGGCTCACGCCTGTGATCTCTCAGCACATTGGAAGGCCAAGGCCGGTGGATCACCTGAGGTCAGGAGTTCAAGGCCAGTCTGGTCAACATGGTGAAACCCTGTCTCTACTCAAAATACAAAAATTAGCCAGGCGTGGCTGGGTGCAGTGGTTCATACCTGTAATTCCAGCACTTTGGGAGACTGAGGCAGGAGGATCACCTGAGGTGGCGAGTTCAAGACCAGCCTGACCAACATGGAGAAACCCCATCTCTACTAAAAATACAAACTTAGCTGGGCATGGTGGCACATGCCTGTAATCCCAGCTACTCAGGAGGCTGAGGCAGGAGAAACACTTAAACCCGGGAAGCAGAGGTTGTAGGGAGCCAAGATTGTGCCATTGCACTCCAGCCTGGGCAACAAGAGCAAAACTCCGTCTTAAAAAAAAATAAAAATTTAGCCAGACATGGTGGCGTATGCCTATAATCCCAGCTACTTGAGAGGCTGAGGCACAAGAATCACCTGAACCTGGGAGGCAGAGATTGC